CTTAAAAAAAAGAATTCCAGAGCGAACTCGCTGCTTTTTGCAAGTGTGGTCCTCAATGAAGATGAACGTTGTTTTTTCTTTTCTATTCGATTTCTATTTCAAATCCCAAAACTATGACTTTTATCTGATCTCTATACTCCAGTTTATAGCAAATGTATCAAATGTTTCTTTTTCCTCCCCATCTTCGCCCTATACTTAGAAAAACCTAATGTATGCTATTTTTGTGTTGGCGCAAATCGGAGAAATGAGCCAATCAGGGACAAGTGCGGCTACCTTATATTGGCTCTTCTATTGCCTTATTTCTCTTAGCGCTAATTGGCTAAATATACCCATCTTATAATGTCGTCGAACAATTCTCGTCTACATCTCTTCCATTTCTATGCTTTCCAACGCTCATTTTCTGTTGTCCAAATTTTTGCACAAAGTTTCAATATACAATAAAAAACATATTTTGATCGTTCCACTTCATCATTTATTGCGTTGAATTTTGGTTGCATTCATCGACTTTCTATTGCTAAAATGAAAGAGAATAACTTTATTCCTTCTTATAATTTTTCAGACGACCTGCTATGAGACGGAAATGAAATGCAACGTTATTTGTTGCTACTGCTGGCCATCGAGAAAGTTGTATCATATAAGCCGGTAAGCATAGCATTTTACTTCATCTTTGACTTTTAGAATTTGATACTTCTAGGAAATTGGTTTCATTGAACTTTTCACTGATTTCAGTTTTACTCGAAATTTCTCATTGTTAATTGTCTTTTTAGGTGTCGGTGATCCATCCTGTTCATATCATAGTTCCATTACCATTAGAAGATGATACTGAAGAACTCAAAAATCCTTTTGGACTGACTATTCTCAAGGTAGAGTTGGTTGAACAAATTCTCTTAATCATCTAATATTTTTCTAATTAAGTTTTTTTGTATTGCTAATCCGTCCAACTGTAATATATCTTAATTACTTTGCCATACAAGTTTTACGCAATCTCTTTTTCAAATCTTGAAATTTTTGAAGCTTGCTAAAAGTCGCCATGCCCAACTATTATATGCTGACATGGAAATCCGCTTATTCTCACGGTAGAAACCCTTGTGGAATTGCCGTATCCAAATGCTAGGTGCTTCCCTAGATTTTGAAGTTTTTCATTACTGAATCTGTTAAAGCGCTTTCATTGTTATATCCGTTTTGAATTATGCTGCATGTATAGCCATAAAGTCG